GTGGGAGAGAAGTGGATGATGGAAAATTACTTAACAGTGGATGTTATTTGGGCAATGAATACATAAATACCTATTCTTCACCACTACACAATATATTCCTGTAACAAAATTGCACAGGTATCTTTTACATTTATACAATTTTTTAAAAAAGATTCCAACGACAATGAGAGATGACATCTGCATTTATGATTTTAGCTGAATGAAGAGTAGTTCCATAGAGATTACAGGAAATTGATGACTTTATTCACTAATCAACAGTTTTTTGTTGATTGATCCTTTTGCATTAATTACTACTTTACATGCTGAATTTGGAGAAAAGAAGAAGAGAATCAACTTAGGCATTCTGTGTCTATAAACATTCAATGGAGAGGTCTCTTAGACAGTTGTATATGCATGTCTTGAGTTTAGAAATAAAAATGAGAGCAGAAGAATTAGAAAATGTGTTTTAAGCGACTGGAATATGTTGATAAGAACATGCATGGCCTTTGACACAGAATAAGTGATAACCCTAACTCTTCTTACAGCTTCTGGGTAACTCTCCTTACACCTTACTTCCTAACTTGTGACATAGAGATGATAGATGTTCAGAGGATTGTTACAAGGATTAAATGCATATGCTGAAGACCTGACAATATTAAGAGGTTAATAAAAAGTAGTTTTAATTTTGGATTGAAAATGAGACAATAAAATATAAAATATTGACAAAAGAGATTTTGACAAACCAAACTATAGACTCCAACAAATATCAAAATAAATTAGCCTAGAAAAAAATAAGAAATAGAAAATCTAAAGTATTGGAGGTTCTTATTTTGTAGAAAAAATTCTATGTTGGGAATAACTGAGGCAGAAAGTTCAAAGGATTATCATTTTCAAAGACTATATAAAAATCAATATAATGAGCCGGTCTTGGTGGCTCAGCCTGTAATCCGTGCCTTTGGGAGGCTGAGGTGAGCGAATTGCCTGAGCCCGTGGGTTCGAGACCCGCCTGGGCAGCGAGACCTCATCTCTACAATAAATCAAAAAATCAGCCGGGCGTGGTAGTGTATGCCTGTAATTTCGGCTACTCGGAAGGCTGAGGCGGAAGGATCACCGGAGCCCAGCAGGTCGAGGCTGCGGTGGCCGGGACTGCACTCCAGTCTGGGCGACAGAGTGAGACTCCAACTCAAAAAAAAAAAAAAAAACCTCATACAACATGAATTTTGTTATCCCTAACTGATAGCAATAACTAAGGGTTAGATATTGAGACTAGTTCAAGATCATAAAGGTTGTAAATTAAGGAAACAAGAATAGAGTTACTATTTTATCATAAAGTCCATTTTCTTTCTTCTGTAATGTAAACACTTTTTAAGAAATAAATTTTATAAATATATGTTCTGTCTCCCAGGAGCAGTACAGTAACATTATCTTAGCTCACCACAGCCTTGAACTCCTGGGCTCAAGTAATCTTCCTACCTCGGCTTTCTGAGTAGCTGGGCCTATATGTGTGTGCCACCTCACTCAGCTAAGATTTCTTTATTTGTTAAAGATAAATTGATAAAAATAAAATTACTGTAACAAAAATAATTATTAATGCTTTTTATTATGACATATCATAAACTTTGTGCTATCAAGTTAGGATAAAAAATAGTTGTATTCTAACAGAATTTTATTTTATATACAATAATGTGATATAATAATCTACATTGAAGATAGACTACAATTACATTGTATATTTCTTTATTTCTTTTTTTTTTTTTTTTTTTTTTGAGTTGGAGTCTCACTCTGTCGCCCAGACTGGAGTGCAGTGGCCGCTCCCAGCCACCACAGCCTTGACCTGCTGGGCTCCGGCGATCCTTCCGCCTCGGCCTTCCAAGTAGCTGGAATTTTGTCTTTTGTATTGTAATGATCTTGTGAGGATGTAAAAGATAATGTCCACTAGGTCTTCTTTTTATATTTTATAATTAATACATTATCTTTTCTAATTTAATGTTTTCCTTTGAATTAACTTGCAGTAATTAATATTTTAACTTCTGATTGTGTGCACGTGTACCTATTTTTGCCTCAGCTTTATGTATCATTTTCTTTTCATGTACTTTTAACATTTTTGAAGCATAATACATATATAGAAAAGTGAATACACTATCATTGTACAGGTCAAAGGATTTTCACAAGTTAAACCCACCATATGACCAGTACCCAGATCTTGCAAGACAATAAAGTAAGCACTTAAAAAAAAACACCTCCTATGCTTCCTCTTAATCACTACCCCCATGCAGAGTAATTATGTTATTTAATTGTAGCAGAATTGATTAGTTTTCCCTGCTTTTGTACTTTGTATAAGTGAAAGTATCCAACAGTTGGTGTTTGTTGTTCTGTTCAACACCAGGCTTGAGATTCATTGATGATGTTACTGCAATTAAATAGAAAATTTATTCCCATTGGTGAATAATATTTGTTATAAAAGTGTACCAAAATTTACGTGTCTGTTCTATTGGTTGGGACTTAGCAGTTTGTGGTTCTCAGCAATTAGTAATAGTGCTGATGGGAACATTTAACAATCTTTTGGTGAATATACACATTTTATTACCGCACTGAATTTAGAGTATATATATGTTCAGCCTTAGTAGATGTTGCAAGTAGTTTTCTAAAGTAAACCAATTTATACTCCTTCGGTAGTGAAGGAGAGTTCCAGTTGCTCCATGTATTCATCAACCCTTGTGTTGAAAGTCTTCTTTACATTTCAGACATACTGATGAACACATTGTGGTATTGCATTGTGATTTTAACACATTTTTTCTTTATTACTAATAAAATTGAACACTCTTTTACAGGCATACTGGCCATTTGAAAACATTTTTGTGACATATTTATTCAAGACAACGTTATTTTTTATTTGGAGCATTTGTATGTTTAAATTTTTTCCAAGAAATTCTTTATGCATTCTAGATGTTAATTCTGTGTTATAGATATGTAATATGGACATCCACTTTGACTGGCTTTCCATTTCATTATTTTCCTGACATCTTTTAATAAACTGACATTTTTGCTTTTTTATACAAACCCTACTTAGGTTATACTATATTTCTTTTAGGCACCACATAATTGTAAGTTGTATTATTTGTTTGAAGTCAATTTGAGTAAGACAGAGCAAGTTATTGATGCAGGTTTTTGTCCCATAAGGTGGCAAGCTGGGCCCCCCCAGGAATGTTGCAGGTCCCAAGGCTGCACTGCCAGCCCCAGAAGCTAAACCAAGGAGCTGCAAAGGCATATGCAAGTGTGGAAAAGAAGGAGGGATGAAAAATCACCTATTGGGTACAATGTGCATAGGTGGGGATGGAAGGTACACTTAAAGCCCAGACTTCTTCATCACTATACAATGCACCCATGTACCCAACACTCATTTGTGCCCCCTAAAGCTACTGAAATAAAAATAAATAAATAAATCAAAATTAAAAATAAAAGCTCTATAAAATTATTTCTAGAGAATAATAATGAAAATTTATTTTTGTTTTTTGCTATATATATATATATATATGTTCAGTAGCCTATTTGCACAAATATGTATATAATCTTTACACATATGTGTGCTGATGCAACATTTTTTTCATAGATATTAATTGTTGGACTTGTTTTTAGATTTTGCTGGGAGTGGCAAATTTCCATGTATATTTAATGGAAGAAATTAACATTAGATTTTTTTTTTTTTTTTTTTTAGTTTCATGTGATCCGGTTCAAAGATCTGTGATCTCCTGGGTATGTCTGAACTTTATGGTAAAGTACTTAAGCCCTTGTGAAAAACGCATTGTTTTTCCATATATCATTTGTCTTTGCTTAGAGAAGTCTCACTAATTTATGCAGGCTGGTCTCAAGTTGCTGGTTTCAGGCAGTCCTCTTGCCTCCACCACCCAAAGTGCTGGGATTACAGGCATGAACCACCAAATCTGGCCTGACAGGTAGAAATTTTTAGATGTTTGTTTTTACCAGTGATAGTGCTAACATAATCAATAGAACATATGAGTGCTAATAGCAATTGATACTCTCTCAATCTTAATTCACACAAAAGGCACAATGTTATCTCTTCACACATATTATAAGATATCATGGTGACTGGAGATAACTTTTTTAAAAATGATAAACAGGCATTTAATGGTTTTATTAAATATTCAGAATTCTCTAAATTGGAGAATAAAACATATAGTAATTATAACTTATGCTCAGAATTTAAATGGTGTCTCAGTTATTGACCTAGAGAAAAAGAAATCAATTGCAAACCTCTTCAGGCACCGTGGTTCAGATTTCTCAGCCTTGTGATACAAATACTTGCAACTCTAGATACTACAACCATGGAATCACTTTTTTATTGAATATGTACAGAGGTTAGACAGAACACAGAACAAATTGCAAATGAAGAACAAAAACTCAAGTGTATAAGAAACAGAAATGTATATTATTATAGGTAATGTATATCACTATGGCATCTGCTAGAATCTAAGTTTCTAAGTTTCTAATTGGCATTTTGTTTTATTGGCAGGAAGACCTCTCTTAGTTTTAATACCTTAATTTCATCTACTTCTTATTCAGTCTAGTGCCATACAGTACCAGTGGGTTTGTCTAAGACCCTTAATCATCTTTGATACTTGTTATAAAGGAATACAGGACATTATTGAACTGTCTACCACATAGTACTTGGGAACGCCATTAAACTATCTCATTCTCCTGTGTCTGGATAGACTCTCCAACCATTTCAAGTATCATTGGTCTCAGGTATCCATGGATGCATGTGACTTCATCAGAGTGAAAAATAGCAAAATACCAAACAAATCCACAAAACAGAGCAACAGAACAAAGGTCAAATGCCCCTAGGGATGCAATAGGTACACTGATAATTAGAGCCAAAGCTCTGTCTTTTAAATGACAGGAATGCCAGTCATCTAATTTTAAGCCACATGGGGATTATATAGCCCATTCTCCTAAAATATTCTTTCCACAATGGAGAGATCCCCCACAGTCATTGAATAAACTCAAATTCTATGGAAACGCAGAAGATGGTGGATACCATCTTGTATCTGCTTGGTCTTAATACTATAAATTATTGGATTCACAAACGGGGGGAAGAGGAAGTAGACATAGCTCATGATAATGTGAACTATACGTGGCACATATTTCCCAGATCGATGAATGAGCGTAAGTCCAATCACAGTGACGTAAAAAACCAGAACACAGCTAATGTGAGAAACACAAGTATTTAGAGCCTTAGCCTGCTCTTTGCCTGAAGCAATTCCCATAACAGTCTTAAGGATCAAGATGTAAGAAATAAGGATAAGCATAGAGTCCAAGAAACCAGTTACGGAGACCAGGGCTATTGGATAAAGTCTATTGAAGGTGATGTCAGCACAAGCCAACTTGATTACATCCTGGTGCAGGCAGAAGGCATGGGAGAGGACATGGGATCTGCAGTAGGGGAATCCAGAGAGGGTGATGATTATGGGCACGATTAGTATAAATCCCCTCATTAGAACTCCCAGACCTATCTTCACCACCTTAGCATTGGTGAGAATGGAGGCATATCTCAGAGGATTACAGATGGCAATGAAACGGTCATAGGCCATGACGAGCAAGACTCCAGACTCCACGACAGAAAGTGAGTGGATTAGATAGGCCTGGAAGAAGCAGGCTCCATGGCTTATATGCCTATGATCCAGCCACAGAACACCAAGTACAGTGGGCATTGTTGTCAAAGTCACTCCAAGGTCTGTGGCTGCCAGTATAGCCAGAAAGCAGTACATGGGTTCATGAAGAGTGCTGTCTTCTCTGATAAGGAAGAGGAGAGTACCGTTGCCAAAGAGTATAGAGGCATAGATGACAAAGAAGGAAATGGAAATCCAAGGATGGAATTTCTCCAGACCTGGAAACCCAGTCAGTAGAAAAGAGGTAGTACTAACGTTGGGTGACATAGTGGATACCTAAGGAGAAACAACAATAACAACAAAAAAACCTCTCTAGATCAACACTATGCAATAGAAATATAATTTAGACCACATGTGTGATTTTAAATGTTTTAGTAGCCACATTAAAAGAGTACAAAGGTAATAGGTAAAATTAACTTTCATGATATGTATTATTTAATCTACTATATCCAAAACATTATCATTTCAAATGTAATCAACATAAATATCATGAATGAGATAGTTTACATGATTTTTATATGAATTATTTAAAACTCAGTATGTATAACAGTTTATATTTATAGAACATGCTGACTCAAGCTAGCCAGAGGCAACTATTCTGAGCAGAACAACTCTAGACTGCACTACTTCATTCTCAGTTTCTACTCCAGTTGCCTTCTATAGCCTTTTCAGACTCCACACTTCATCAAAGAATTGCAAAAAATGAAAAGTATTTTATACACAAATACACTAGATATTTGTAAATAGATGTGGTATGCATGTTTTAAAAATTAACTCCCCAATTCCCAAGATTTCCTATCCTAATTTCTAGGGCAATGAATATGATGAAATATCATGGTTGAATTATACAGATGTAATTCAGGTTCAGACCAATTAACTCTGGGTTAATTGGGTGAAAGATTACTTGGAGGGACCTCATCTAATCTCATGAGTCCCTAAAATAAAAGAGTTTTCATAAATTAGAGCAAGAAATTCAATGTTTGACAAGGATTAATGGGAAGTTGCTACTTTGAAGTATTGGGGGGGTCACATAAAATGGAAGAATTCAAGGATCCTCTAGGAACAGGGAAAGGATCCCAGTTAGCAGCCTGCAAAAAAACAGAGACCTCAGATTTATAGTCATAAGATACTGAGTTATGACAACAACTTGAATGAGTTTGGAAGTGGGTCTTTCCCAAGAGTCTAACCTAAATGACACCTTGAGTTTGTTCCTATGACACCCTAAGTAGAGGACCAAGTAAAATATACTAGACTGTAAACCTATAGAACTGTGATATAATAAACTAGTTTTTAAGTGGCATTGTTTGTGGTAATTTATTATATAACAGTAGAAAAGCTAATGCTGAGGTATTGCTATTATCTATGCTTTACTGATAATAAACTAATATTTTAATTAGAGCATTTATGTAAGTTAGTTATTGCATCAATTGTCTTTTACCACAGAATTATCACATGAAAAAACCTTGCACAGTTTCAATGACTTACAACACAAAATATTTATTTTTCACTCATGTGCTCGCTTCGGCTCAGTTAAACTGGACTCGACTGAGCTGTGCTGGTAATTTCTGCCCATCCACTCATGCACATGGAGTACAGTCGGATAGTGTCCCCATCATATTATTTTCCTGTTTCTTTCTTCTTATATATACATCATTCTTTTCTTGGGTTTATTTTCATCTTGTCTCTTACTTTGCCTTCTCCCTCTAACTACATGCTATATAACTCCTGCATTATCAGACTTTAGCACAAAACTTAAAGCACAATTTTTGCCATTTACATTTTAATACTAGTCTGTCAGACCCAGTGGCTCGAATTAACTCATTATAGTTAAAACACAGTTTTACTCCCAGTTCAAGATGAACATTGTTTACTTACCGACTACTATATTAATACATCAATCCCCTTGGAAGCAATAACAACATTTGACATACTGATTGTTACGTCATGTGTAAGATTTCAATTATTTTGTTATTAACACATTGATGTACTAGCTGGCTGGCATGCTGATTGTAAAATTGACTTGTGTAAGAACATTGACTTGCAAATAATAATAGTATTCTAATAGGCTTATGTGTAAATGCTGACAAAAGTGTAAAGAAGAGGAAGGAAGGAACTGAAAGGTAACATAGCTAAATATGAGAGAAACAAGAGCAGAGAATAGCATCAAGAAGAGGAGAGGGTGTAATATAAACACCTACAAAAGTTATGATGACCCACCCGGTACATTCACTCTCAAAATCAGTCTCTCTTTTCTTGCTTCTTCCAAATAATATTCCTACTGAAGGAAAAATTAATGATAATCCTGGGCTAGCAAGAAAGTCTAGGTAGCAACTTGGAACCCTTAATTATTCATATAATCACCCATCACATAAAACCACTGCTTTTCTTTCTATTTATTTATTTATGTATTTATTTATTTAAGATATGGGATACAATTTAGATTTAGGGATACAATTTAGATTTAGGTATACAGATGGTCACCAGACAGGTAAAGTTTGGGCCTCGCTGTGTTCACTATTTCACCTGATTTGAGATCAGGCACCCTTATTGATGCATGTGTACCACCCCCCACCCTCTCCCACGCCCTCACTCCCTCACCACCCCAGTCCCCACCCTCAACTGTGTCCCGCTACTGCCAATTCCTTTTCTTATTATATTATGGGTTTTTGTTGTTGTTGTTGTTGTTGTTGTTGTGGGTTTTTTTTCTTTTTGAGTTGGAGTCTTACTCTGTCGCCCAGTCTGGAGTGCAGCAGCATGCTCACGGCCACCGCAGCCTGTAACTGCTGGGCTTAGGCAATCCTTCTGCCTCAGCCTTCCAAGTAGCTGAAACTACAAGTGAGTGCTACCACACCTGGCTTATTTTTTTATTTATTGCAGAGACAGGGTCTCACCCTGTTCCTCAGGCTGGTCTCAAACCCGTGGGATCAGGCAATCCTCTCACCTCGGTCTCCCAAAGTACTGAGATTACAGGCTGAACCACCGTGCCCAACCTGTATTATGGTTTATTTATACGAATTATACACTGCTTTTCTTTAAAAGTCAGCATTTTCTAGAAAGGTAAACTTTTATGTTGGCATTTGTTACACCTGGCAGAATCCATGGATACCGATAGCTTGCCTCAGTTCATTTGCCCTCTTACAACATTTATGTGAAGAAGAAAAGTCCAAAAAGATTCATCATTTTTACTTCCCTCTGAAATACCTCCCTTTCGTTCACCCAGGATCACTAGAGGCTTACCTGTGGCATCAGCAATTAAAAGAAAAGGCAATCCCTGTGTCTTGATGTAGAAACTGTATTTGAAGACTGCTCACAGGAATAATTTGTGATGCTACTTCTACACAGAATCATTCCCCAAGGTCTCTCTTGTTTCTGGACAATTAGACTACTGGGATATCTTTTTCTGGCTTCCTCCAGAGAAGGAGCTAAACCTCCAGAACTGTGTTCTATAGCTCCACATTTTCTTTGCAAAAAGAAAGCAGAATTGTAACTTTAACCAGCAGATGAAAATCAGGCTGTCAACCCACCTTTGTGGAATTTGATTTCCACTTCAAGAAGAAGATATCACCAAAACTGCTTTTGACTTTGTCATTCCTGAGTCCTGGAGCAAATAAGTTCAATAAATGTAGATGAAGCATGATTATTTCCTGACACCTCTCTTTGGTTTTGAAGGAGATTGCTTGTTATTGTACTTGGTACATGCATTCTTGAAGTGATATTTTCTTACCAATGAATATTGTTGATAAATTCTTTTAAACAGTGAACTTTTAATCTGTCTCTTGCTAAGTCTTACCCAGGTGTCATAGTTCTTCCTTCTGGAGCAATGTCAGGAAAAATGTCTTATTTCATTTTAAGTGTCTAATTGTAAAGTAAAAAAGGAGAACATGGTAGAAGTATTATTTTCATCCCCGTCTTTCTCTAGTAATTTTTGCCTGAATAAAAAATTATGATTGTGATAGTCTGACAGAGTGATAAGCATTTGAGTGTCTATTGTCTTGTCTTAGTCTTGTTTCCTAAATTTATCCTAGAACCTACCCAAACTGTGAGATTTTAAAATGAGTATGGGTACAGTATGGTCAACCAGATGGATCATATTTTGGCTTTCAACATTTCAAATTCAGCTAAGTTCCTCCTGAACTCAGCTCCACTGCTAAATCTTTCTGGAAATAGGTAGCATTAGGGAAGTCATAATTAAGATTTAGTTTATGGGAATGGCTTAACTCTGAATGCCCTTGTGTCCTCTTTGTACTTAGTGCAAATTTAATGGTGGATTGATTTAGAAGAACTACATTTTGAGCTCATAATGAAGGGGAGGTTGTGAGATCCTGCGATAATCAACTTAGTTTAAGGCTGCCCTCCTGTCTTATCAGTAGGTAAACTGACCCTCTCACTGGCACCACACAATTCTCCTGCCCTATAAGTATCATCTCATTCCTGACAACACATCTCAATTTAGAACTGATATAAAGAAATTTCCTGCAGGCTTCTCCAGGATTGGGATAACCTCCCAAATCAGGTGACCCTGATAGTGGAGGACAAGCCTCCAGGAAAAGGGAACTGCTCTTAGCCCTTATTCAGCCAACACTCAAAGGGACCAAATTTAGGGGCACTGGAAAGAAATAAGAAGGGCTTCTATTTCCTTCAGTCTTCTATTTCCTTAAGTAGCCATTATGTCTCTCTCAATCATGTATTTTCCAAAACCTTATTCATTCCCTTCATATTTCCTGTTATATTGCCTGTGAATTACAGAATCACAGCAGTATAATCTCAGATTTGAAAGGATCTCCCATTTCCTGAAATAAAAGCCTTCTTTGTTGTAGTGTTTTCTGACAAGGGTCATCCACTTATTGCTTGTCTCCTACTGAATCATTCTGTTCTGAAGATATTTAAGAAGGTATATTACTTAAAATGCCTTACTTTTTAATGAAAAAATTTGTGCTGGACTTCTTGTTCCTCGGCTTTTGGGCTGAGCCTTGTCTAACCCATGTCGCATATTTTATGTGAAATATATTAAAGCAACATTCAGTTATCCTAAACTTATTTATTAAAGATTCAGATATATCTCTATTCTGGAAGTTTTGCTTTTTGTCGAGAAAGTCTATGCTGACAATACTAGTGTCCTTTTTTTACTATGGAGTTTAATTTTATTGTCTGTCACCCTTCTGCATTCTTTAATAGTCATTGCAGAGCTCACCTTTTAAATGGTTTTCTACAAGGCTGTGATAGTTTGTTTTATATGTCAACTTGACTAGGCAAGATATGCCCAGATATTTTGTCGAACATCATACTAAGTATTTTCATGAGGTTTTTTGAGATGAGATTAACAGTTAAAGTGGTAGACCAAGTAAAGCAGATTGTCCTTCCTATTGTCAGTGGCCTCATCCAATCAGTGAAGATCTGAATAGAACAAAAAGTCTGCTCCTGGTCTGGTGGCTCTCACCTGTAATCCAAGTACTTTGGAAGGCTGAGACGGGAGGATAGCTTGAGGCCAGGAGTGCAAGATCAGCCTGGGCCACAAAGCAAGATTACATCTCTACAAAAAATAGAAATATTAGCCAGACATGGTGGCACACGTCTGTAATTCCAGCTACTCGGCAGGCTGAGGCAGAAAGATTGCTTGAGCCCAGGTGTTCAAGGCTATGGTGAGCCATGATCATACTACTGCACTGAAGCATGGGTAACAACCTCATGTAAAAAAACCCCGTGAAAAAAAAAAAATGAACAAAAAGTCCTACCCTACCTTAAGTCAGAGATAATACTTCCTGACTGATAGTATTCAAATATAGATATAGACTTTTTTTTTCCTATTCAGATCCAAACTGAAACATCAACACTTGCTGGGTCTTAAGCCTTCCAGCCTTTGGACTGTAACAACAAAATAACTTCTCTTGGTTCTCGGGTAAGCAGGTACATAGTCTCGGGTTCTCAGACATGCTAGCCTCCATAATCACATAATAATTCTTATAATAAATCTCTTTATATATGTATGCATATAAAGATATGCATATGTATATATATGAGGAAGGACCCCCCAAAACCCAGAATATATTTATAAAAAATTGTGTATTTGTTCTTATGTGTTTAAACTCCAGTCTTCAAAGTACTCTCTGTTTGAGGCAACACACCTATCAAAACACTTTTTCCATTGCTCAAAACAGATTTTGAACCTGTCAGGTTTGGTGCCTTTTAATGCTTCTGTCATTTTTTGTTTCACCTCTTCCACATTGGCAAAACATTTCCCTTTAAGCACTTTTTTCATCCGGAAAAACCAAAAATAGTTGCTTGGGATGAGAGCAGGTAATAGGGAGGGTTGGGCACAAGGGTCTCGCTGTTTTTGTTCAAAAACTGTTGAACATTTAGCATGGTGTGAGCAGGTACATTGTCATAGTGGATAAACTAGTCACTTATTTGCCAAAACTCAGGATGTTTTTTCAACAAATTGTGATGCAATTTTCTGAAAACTTCCAAATAAAAGCTTTGGTTGACCATTTGATCTGGAGGAACACTTTTCATGTGTGCTACAAGGGACCCACTGTCCAAAAGATAATTCAGTTTTGGGGGATATCTTTCATACATATTCACCAGCTGTATGAAGGAGGTTCACTAGTATGTTAGTCTAGTGGGGAGCCACTCTGAAGTCAACCCTGCTTATGAATACAAACATATTTACAGTATTTCTTGGAAGACATTTTTATAAATAGGCTTCCTCCAGTACCTAGCATTTTACCAGAGAAAGACTTTTAGAAGATCACACAAAAATTCTAAATTTTGTAATGACAGTAGCATGTTGTGCTTATATTGTGTTTATGATGATTGACAAAATGTATTTTCAGTAGAAATACATATTTAAGTAGATATTCACCATGTACTCTTCTGTATAATAGAGATAATTTTTTAATCTCTCCCTAGCTATCTTCACCCTACTGCCTCTTCTCAATGAATTTATTTTCTCACTTTCAATCAGAAATGAGTTTTCTAAACACAAAAAAACTTTATGAATTATTCACCAAATGTTAGCTAGACTAACTTTTCTGCCACTTTTTAGCTTCCTTTGTCTGCATTTTAGAAAAATAAGCAGTGCTTCTAATAGTATTTTCTGCTTTTTAAATATTACTTGAAGCAGATTTGCATGTATGTAACTAAGATAGTATAATTATTAATATTCTTTGGTTGTAAATGTTATAACTGATTAAAATTCAACCGAAGCTAATTGGAACAAAATAACAAAATACAAAAAGATATTTATTAGCTCGTGGAATCAAAGGGGAATTTGAACTACTCTTCTCGTTGTTGAGCCTCAGGAAAACATGGAACCAGGAATTGGAAGGTTCATGTTTTGTTTGTGTGTTTGTTGTTCTTAACCTATGTATCTATAATTTACCTAACTGCTTATTTATAACTTAGATCACTCATCAAATGGAAAACATCACTCTTAACAATTCTAATCATTTCTTCTTACTACTTCTACCAGAATGAAAGCACTATTTATTTTTAAGATTTTACATTTGAAAACTCTAAGAAAGATTATACTAGGATTAGAGGTTTGTAAATGTAATAGAAAATCCCAGCTTCTATGAGACAAATTTTTTTTTGTAGTAAAAGGAAATGAAATTCTCAAAAGAAAGGGGTAAGTGATGTTTCTGTAAGAATGGTGGAATATAGGGAAGAAAAGAGAGTCCACTAAGAATGGACTATTTCAGGGGAGTATAATATACACTGGCATTATCATTAGAAGATATGGATTTGAATCACAACTATAACACTTACCAACTTTATGTCTTTTGATGAGATATTTAACTTATCTTCAGTTTTTCTATTTAGAAAGTAGTGATCATATCTACTTTACAATATGATTATGATTTTAAAAGGTGCAGATGTAGTAGATAGAGCAGAAAACATTGAGGAATACATTTGGCTTCATGAATAATTGGAAGCAGGATGAAACCTACTATCATATGAACATACTCAGACTCACAATTTCGTATTCAGGCTGCATAATTTAGATATCATAGAATCACAAGAATTAAAAAATGGTAAAGCATATAGGTATTTTCTTTCTCAGTCCTTTCACAATTTTATTTTCTGATAAAGTGGAAAAGAAATGAGGTTTACAGTTTTTCTTAGGTTGGACTCTCTATAAGCAAAGTCTGAGAAAGGAATTCAGATGTGTGTAATTTATTTATTTATTTATGTATTTATTTATTTATTTATTTATTTATTTATTTATTTATTTATTTTTGAGTTGGAGTCTCACTCTGTCGCCCAGACTGGAGTGCAGTGGCCGCTCTCGGCACTGCAGCCTCGACCTGCTGGGCTCCGGCGATCCTTCTACCTCAGCCTTCCGAGTAGCCGGAATTATAGGCACACGCTACCACGCCTGGTTGATTTTTTGATTTTTTGTAGAGATAAGGTCTCGCTGCCCAGGCGGGTCTCAAACCCGCGGGCTCAGGCAATCCACTCACCTCAGCCTCCCAAAGGTGCGGGATTACAGGCTGAGACACCGAGCCCGGCTGTGTGTAATTTATTAATGAAGGCTCTCAGAAGACAGCAAGCAAAGAGAAGCAGGGTAGACAGGGGAAGGAGGTAAGCAAGTACATTGTCTCAGCTGAAGTTAGCATCAGAAGACAAGAGGGCCAGTATTTGTCTATGGCCTGCCTCCTGGGAAGCAGAGACCATAATCTTGATGAGGTGGTTCCTACTGAGTTGAAAATAGCAACCTGAAGAAAGTAGCAACCATAAACAATCAGTCAACACTTACAGGAGCAGGGAGTAGGTGCACAGTTCTGTAAAGTAATTTGGGCAAAATACCAATAACAGTAACAGTATTTTTTTTTCTCCTTTTGATTTTTTTTATTTTAAAGATGTGGGATGCTATTCAGGGTTAGAGATACAAATGTTCATTATGCAGTTACCCTTATTGATGAGGTGTGCTTCCCCTACCTGGCATATTCCCACTATGGCCAATTCTGCCTACCCCCATTTCTGCAGTTTCCCACTACTGCCAATCCTTTTCTTATAATATTATGATAATTGTTCAAGTTCTGCTTATGAATGAGAACATGTGATACCCACTTATTTGTTTCTGTGCTAGATTGCTCAGTATTATGGACTCTAAGTCCATCCAGTATGTACTGGTCTTGGGGAATAAATGTGAGTTTATAGTTTTTAAAGAAAAAATCATAATCTTTTGGTGAAGGGGGAACAAATGAGATGACTGGGATGATAAATGATTATAACACTGATCAAAGAAGATTACATACTTCTTTGCAGGAAAACTGAACTTCAGTGATCAAATTTATAGATTCCCAGTTTGTATAAATCTGTAAGGGAATTCATGAGAGTTGGAGATTGGATTTGACATAATAAGACACTCTATTCCATTTTATCCAAACAAATTCAGATTTTATATTTTTATGGCTCTGTTTCTATCTGCCAACTTTCTACTTCCAAAGAAAGAATGTTGATTGCATCATAGACACACTTATAGATGCCTAAGGTATTCTTATTACTAGAATTTAGTAGCAAGCTTAGAGAAATATTTAATATACAAGAATGCAAAAAAATATGTACAAACTAGATTAGACTAAAGACCTGTGCTTAAAGAGATACTTTAGGGCAATTTGAAGCTCTACTTTGACAGTTGTTTTACCAACAGTTCTGAGCATGGGTGGTATATATGATATTTCTTTGCTCCCTCACCAAAAATCAGTTTTCACATTCTGGAAGAGAAACTGTGATGGTCAGAGATCAGGTTCCAACTTTGTAAGTAGTAAAAAGGTAAAGAATGCCATTCTGGATCTTCTTCGTCTTGATACTGTATATTATAGGATTCATTAGTGGAGGAAACAGAAAATAGACATAGCTCATAATGAGGTGGACAATATGTGGAAGCTGCTTTCCGAACCGATGAATCAGAGACAATCCAATCACCGTGACATAGAAAACCAGGACACAACAGACATGAGAGACACAGGTGTTGAGGGCCTTTGCCCTCTCCTCTCTGGAGGCAATGCTCAGCACACCTTTGAGTATCAACACATAGGAGATGAGAATAAACAGAGAATCCAGGAAGAATATAAGGGCCACAAGCACAACTGGGTACAGTCGATTGAAGGTGATATCAGCACAGGCCAATTTGATGACATCTTGGTGAAGGCAGAATGCATGTGAAAGGACATGGGAATGGCAATAGGGGAAAAAATAGAGGGGTGTGATTGGAGGGACAACAGATACAAATCCCCTCATCAGAACTCCCAGCCCGATCTTCACCACTCGAGTATTGGTGAGTATGGAGGTGTATCTAAGAGGGTTGCAGATGGCGATAAAACGGTCATAGGCCATGGCAAGCAAGATACCAGATTCAACAAAGGAAAGTGAGTGGATAAAGTAAGCTTGAGAAAAGCAGGCTTCACTTCTAATCTCCCTATGATCCAACCAGAGAACTCCCAGCACCGTGGGCATCGTGGTCAGGGTCATTCCCAGGTCTGTAGCTGCCAGCATGGCCAGGAAGAAGTACATGGGCTCATGAAGATTACGATCTTTTTTAATGAGAAAGAGGAGAGTGCTGTTGCCCAAAACGACAGAGCTATAGATGAAAAAGAAGGGTGTGGAAATCCAGTGATGAGCTGCCTCCAATCCTGGAAAACCAGTCAACAAGAAGGAATAGGAGCTGCTATTGGGCCACATGCTGGGTTTATCCAGAAGAAATGTCATTCTGTTTCTGTTATTATGACAGGGCGCAGCTTTGCTTTCAAAGTGTCACTCCAACTGTGTATTCTCAGAAATTTTTCTTAAAGGCAGTAATAACATCAGTATAAGCCATTGTTTCTCGAAATATATTTTTAGGACAACCTCTACTATTTGTTTTCTTAATTGCACATTCCAGGGTCTATTCCCTACCTACTTAATCAAATTCTTGAAGCTTTAATTGTTCATTTGCAATGTATCATACTCCCCAGTGCTTTTGTTTTTTTTGTTTTTCATTCACAAGGCAACTTAGAAACTGCTCCCATCAGGTACGCAGATTTTACAAAAGAATCTATGTTCTGCTGGGCCTTTAAGGGAATTTCAAGGAATCCAGCTTTACTCCTATTCCAATCTACTACAAAGTCTGTATTTTCCTTCACAGTAATGATTCCTAACCCACATTTTCCTGCTTGTGAATGACGTATTTGAATTATTTGCAAAGTCCCAGGAGCCTAAGAGAGAGAAGTATGAAAATAGAAGTTCTTTCACTTTCACTATTGCTGAATAGCTAATAGATTGAGGAGACATTTTGCCTCCTGATTCCATGGACTAGTGATGGTGGATAGATACTTACATTGTATGTTAATTAGCCTCCTCTTGGGCACTTCAAAACTACTCACTACTTGTGATAACAACGTAAACTAATTAGACAAGAAGTTAGACAATTAGGAGTTAGACAATCAGGCCTTTGGGCTGGAATAAATGACTAGTCACTACACAGATATGGCTTATAATAATGTTTCTCCTTCAGTAGAAAATTTTGTTTTTCCTCCTTATTTCCATGTAGTATTTTTATCATTCCCCATTATTTCTCTGTAGGCCCACTAAAGTAACTCCCTAGGAACCGATCTCTCTCACTTCAAGTTCTTCATTTGCATTTAAACAACTATTTTCCTGGTCTCCTTCCTTTTATTCCCCAGTCACAGACTTCTAAATTTTTCCTCTCCAATACTGAGTGGGAGCTTTCCATTAGCAAAAAGAAGATTCTTTTTTAGAACTTTCTAATATCTCTCTTGCCACTATATTGTGGATATCTGGCATATGGAAACTATCTTTTTTGTGCCTTGTTCAACACCTTGCCAAATACATAACAGGTGATATATATACATTCATTAATTCACCTAATATTTGTGAGCACCCATCATGTGACAGCCATGACATTTTAATCTCTGGAATGAAATGATAATAAGACAAAATCCCTAATCTTATAAAACATAAATCAAGTTAAAAAATAAATATGATAATTTTAGATAAATATAAGTACAACTTTAAAAATAAAATAGGATTATTTAATGGAGATTGATTGGGATGGTTTGCATACAGGTTAGAAGCTTGGGTGGTCTGGGACTGCTCCTATGAAGAGGTAATATTTGATTTGAAATCTGAGTAAGCCAACCATATGAAGATCTAGAGGAAGATTGTGCCACTGAGAGGAGAAAATCGGTATGTCTGCAGTTTTATGAGCAAGCAGAAAAGGAACGATAAAAGATGTCAGAGACCCAGTAGTAATCAGGTCCCATAGAGCCTTAAAAGCCACCATAAATTTTTTGTTTTGTGTAGATTTTACCCCAAATGCAATGAAACAACCCACTAGAGAGTTTTAAAAATCACGATGGCGAATGAGGTGGTATCACGTTCTAATCTGCATTTTGAAATGTGAAGAATAATTAAGCAAGAGATAAGAAAAGAGATTAGTTAGAACACTATTGAAATAATCCAAACGAGGAGTGATGGTGACTTCTATGAGGGGAGAAGCAGTGTCAATTTAAAAAAGAAAAAATAAAGAAACAGATAAAAATACAATTGTGAGGTCAATTTAAAAAAGAAAAAATAAAGAAACAGATAAAAATACAATTGTGAGGTAGTGCCAAGGCTTGCTGATGCATTGGGAATGGGAGTGAGGGAACAATAAAATGAGATTGAACCTAGATTACTGAACTAGAGCAAGTGGGAGAAGAGTGAAGTCATTTACTCAAAAGCGGATGTCTGAGAGGTATACAAGTTTACTTGTGTGGAAATCAAGAGTTGTTTGTTATACAGCTGAATTAGGGCAATTCCATGTCCTGCTTTCTTTTTTGTCACACACAAAAACAGTTCCCTCAAACTATTTTTATCTCAAATTTTTTTAATGGTCTCATTCACATATGCCTCTTGGTCATTATTTTGTCAGTGTAAACCACTATCCTTAAGATGTCCCCAAAGAAAACTATCCTTTTACCTTGTACCGGTATGGAAGAGATTTAATTGTAATCATTTCCAGCAGTAAAGAGGTGCCGGACAACTGGGCGTGAGGTGATAACTAATGCCTTTTAGCGTGACGCTGAGAAATGGAAAATTGACAGAATCACTTTTCAGTATCCATACTCTATAACTAGTAGTGAGAGACAAACTAGAATTTAGAGCCTAATGTGCATGGAATGAGTGATGTGTATTTTTCAGTTACTGAACGCAAACATAATCAAGCATACTCCTCCCTTTCTGTGTTTTACACACAACTTCATTCATCTGTCTGCATTCTTACCCCTCAGACTTCTCAGCAGTGATCTTCTTTAACACAGTCTCTTGCCGTACCACAATTTTGTGAGGAGTTCTCTTTTTTAAAAGAATATGTAGTGCAAACAATGAATCATTACAGAGAAACTATATCCAAAGTGGAAAGATGTATTCTATTTTGCCAAAACCTTCAAATTAAAATTTCCCCTTTGCTATTGCTAAGAATTCCATGTAGGTATACCTTGTGATGCAGCAATAACAGGGAATCAGAATCACCCTATTTCATGCTGTGGGAAAGTCACATGTCTTCTTCTAGAAGCTGCTCTTGGTTTCTAAGAAGAAAGACCATGAAGTAAGAGACAAAAGCTGAGGAAAAATTATAGGGAAAGAAAGGTTACAAACACTGAAGATAGGACAAGAGGAAGAATCTATAATTGACCATGTAGAAAATCGGATAAACTTCAGCAATTTACAACTATAATCCTTCTCTGTCTCATTAAAAAAACATGTGGTAGACCAAGAAGAACTGCCTCTCTGTTCATCTCGCAGAAAATAGAGGAGACATATGGGAGGGTCTCCATATTCATATCACTGAGTACAGAAGGTCTTAGGTATGCAGGCCCACATTTTTTTCTCAAGTGCTAACAATTTCAGGCTGAGATCTGTGCACATCTCCAAAGCTGTGGACTGCTGATATTCTTTCTCTTCTTTCCACTGCCTCTCTCCAAATAGCTTATAGAGAAGTTTCCAGATACCCTCTTTTTGCATATGCTGAATATGTCACCATACTCACATGTATGATACCTTGGTTGATGGTAGTGAGAAGCAGGGTTATTGCATCCTGCCTGAAGACTCAGATCATATGGTTCCTTCACAGTCTGTTAAGAGACCCAGTCACTGAGGTTATTAGTGAAGAAGGCACTTCCCCAGATGTCTCTCTTTTATAGAAAAGTAGGATCTTAAGAAATATTTTCTCTATATCAATTATTCCTGTAAAGAAGATGCAACACTTAATTAATCCCCTCAAGCTTTTAAATCATCTACTCCAAATACAATATTGGGCAAATCAAGCCACAAGTGGCTGTTTTATGTGTGGGGAATCAGAGAGCTCTTCTTTATAGTCCCAGCAGACCCTATTATCACCTTTGGGAAGCCATTTACCCCCTGAATTTACTTAAAAGACTAAATCTTTCCAGATTGCTCTCAAGAGAAACTGATACATCTTGGTCTAAGTATTCTGAATTCCAGCCACATTGTGTTTTATCTCAGGCCTGTCAGCCTTCTCTAGTACCCAACCTGCAGCTATTGCAAGCTATTCCTTTATGGGGTTCATCTTGCCAGAATTTTTCTCTTTTCCTGGCAATGCAGCAAACATGCTCACAACACAGTGTTTCAGTCAAGCACATCTCATCACTTCAGTCATGGAGATGCTAATATTTTTGTTTTCTCTTACAAATCTGACAGAAACCACTCTGTTACTGATTACAAAGGATGCAAGTAACACCAGAAGGACAAATCATCTTTAGTTGTACTATGCTTTGTTATAATTAATATAATTTTTAATACAAATTAGAGACTCAGATAATTTTTGTTGTTATGACCTGTATTATGTCTCCAAAATTTGTATGTTTAAGCCACCCCCAAGACCTCAGAATGTGATTTAGAGACTGGATCTTGAAAGGGATAATTAAACTGAAATGAGTTTATTAGGGTTTGCCTTCATTGACTATTACTGGTGTCCTTATAGGTAGAGAAAATTTGGATACAGACTACAAAGGGAAAACCATGTGAAGACACAGGAAAAAAGTGGTCATCTTCTTACAAAGGAGAGAGGCTTCAGAAAGAAATCAACCTTGCCAACACCTTGATCCTGGACTTTTAGCCTCCAGAATTTAGAAAGAATGAGTTTTTGTTATTTAAGCCATGCAGTATATGATAATTTTCTAGACAGCCGTAGACAATTAATAAACCAGCAATGTAAATATGGAAAGGTTACTTAACCTTTGTAATACTGAATGTATATTTAGGTATAAACTTAATAAATATGTATAAAAACAGATGCTAAATATTACGAAATGCTGATGGTAGGCCTAGGCAGGAAGATTCTAAAATTTATACAGAAATACAAAGGGCCTAGGATAGCTAAAACACCTTTGAAAAAAATTTGAATAAATCTCTGTATGCAATGTTAAGTTTTATTATATAACTACAACAATAAAGACTGGGTGTTATTGGTAGAGAAACAGATACACAGATTGGTTTAACAGAATAGAGAAATCCACATAATTATGTAATTAATTTTTGACAAAAGTACAGAAGCAATGAATGAAGGAAGGATGGTCTAGTCTTCAAATGGTGCTGGAGTTAGTAGAAATCTGTGTGGGGGTATGGCAGGTGGGAGGACCCTCAACTGAAACCTCACACCTTATACAAAACTAGCCCCAAATGAATATGAATTGCAAACTTAAATGTAAAATATAAAATTCTAACCTACTG